AAAAGACCAGCTTGGAGCCTATGTGTCAAGATAAAAATGAGGGAACAACTCCGCGACGACAACTTACTTTGAAAAGGACTTTTCTGCTTCACTCTCAAAACTTGTGTTTTCGCAATCAGTAACTCCCACGACACCTGCCGAAATGTCAGCTTGTGCATAAAGAAAGAAATAAAACGACACCTTGTGTTTGCTAAACAGAATTAGAAAAAACTATTCTTAATCGGTGTTAGTCAGATGTACAACTTAACACCTGTTTTTCTGAGTACAAGCATAAATTTCTTCCGTGGCGCAGTGGTCGTAGGCGCCCTGCGACACACGTGGAATCGATCCCCGCGCCCATGGCCCACCAAGCCCTCCATCCCTCCGGAGTCGGCAAATTGGTCCCAGACTTGTTGGGAGGATAGAAGCATTGGTTCGATACATCGGTAGGCCACTGCAAGCAATTGTAAAGCCCAGATATGAATTCAATCACCTCCAAACGATGCCAAATGAAGTCGAATGCATGACGCATCCCTCAGGGATTGATCAACGCCGAAAACCTTACCCTTTATCCTTTTAAGCACAAATTGTTAACAATTGTCTACTGGAAATCAAATTCAGTAAGCTTGAAATTGGTTGCATTTTCACAGGTTTTGTCTGAAGACTGCAGTTTTGCTTTGTCTTTCCTTTTCCAGCTTTTCTCTATTGCTATATATAACAATCTCCGTGAAGATACCGGAGGTTTGAAGAAGAACAAGTTGTGTAGAGTTTTTCATAGTCATTAATGACTTTATTGAGAAAGAATAAGTGAGCAACACAAATGCGATCTTAGGAACACACCACTGGTGTGCTAAAATAGAGGTGGTTAAGAAATTAACGATTCCGTGTTTGTTCTGCTCCATATGACAAGATGTGCTAAATTGCTCATTGAAATCACTCTTGAGCTGGTCTTTTGTGCTCATATTTTGTTTCGAAGTCCAAACACACATGGTTGAAGAAGTACCCAAGGATGAGGAGGTGAAGGAGAACGAAGCCAGCGGAATCACTGAAATAGCTGAGATTGTGACGCGTATTATAGATCTTGTAAGAATTGCATCTCTTAATTATTACGATGTGGGAAGGTTTTTTTAAAAAGATGACTAGCGCGGTAGCAAAAACGCTCCGCAATACACAACGTGATCTTTGGCTCGATCACGTGCCGTTGGCTCATCAAACCTTCTATCCCTTCGAGATCTGCAAATTGGTACCCTACTTGTCTGACAGCATAGCAGCACTGATTCGATACATTGTTAGGCCACCGCCAGTCATTGTAAAGGCCAGATATGTATTCACTCACCTCTAACGATATTAAATGAAGTGAATACATGGTACATCTTTCAAGGATTGATCAATGCCAAACACTTTAATCTTCTAAACTAAATTTGGCAGAGTGTAGTGACGACTAATGCCCAGCAATAAAACATTGTAATGATATGAAATTATTCGCCTTACAATGAGCCCGTTATCCCCATGGGAAGCAACTCGTACTCACACTGCGATAACCACGTCAAGTAACGTCTGCGACTTGTCTAAAGATAGTGCCTACTGTCACACGGTTTCTCGGTACTGCCAACCCTTAAACATGATTTTCTTCGTAGTGGGGTGGTTTCGAATCTTGATATGATTGAATAAGTGACATTTTTTGATCACGATTTCCTAAGATCTGCAACATTCATCCACAGTTCGGCAACCATTAAGGAATTTCTATGCGGGGCTGGATTCTAATGCTTAAGGAGTAGTAAGGACTATTCATGTAATACACCGTATAGCAATCATTAAAGACTATACGAGCAGCTTTGTCTCTTGAAGCATTTGCTCGAACTGGATTCCTCGTAAAATTAACCACTATCACGAAGCAAATAGCAGCGATGTGTGTGTTTCATGGTTTCTTTATCTGGGTAGTAAGAAATTCGCGATATTTATGATGAGTAGATGAGCAGTTCGTCCTTCACACTAATGGCTTAAAGGAGAAGTTCCGATGAATGAAGTGAAATCTGATCCCCACTGGATGGTTCTTATCCACTTGATGGAATTCAGGGTTGTTGAAGAGACAGCTGTTGCCAGCGAGTACCGATGTGACACGAGTTGTTTGTATTGTTCAACTTCAAAAGTTGGCCACTCTGATTCGAAATTCCATGCACTGTTTAACAGTTTATGAACTTTATCAGGAAGCTTTACTCCACGCAGTACATCTTACTAACTACATTCTTTCCAATTGTGGGTCATCAGAAATCACCACTGGGAAAGGAGTTTTATCACCAAGTATGAGTAAGACCAGCGTCCACCACTGGTACGTTCGTTTACCGGGCACTCTGATTTTGCGAAGGATTTTGGTTTTACATCTATTACAACTGTAAGATGAGGCTTTCCATCAGAAAGCCTAGCTAAAAGTAAACCAAAACCACTACCAGGATCCACCACTGCCTTGGTATCAAAGTCGCATGGTGGCAAATCTCGATCTGATCCACATAAGCGGCGTCTGTCTGTGGTGATGAAGACCAAGGGCAGACTTTGGCCACGCTGACCTCGGGATTCCAGGAAGCCACAATGGCTTAACCAGCAATTCTCCGAAAAATGGAGATTATGCTGGCAAGCGCACAACCAGTGGGGACGGACCGTTCTAGTATCGAGTATTAAGTAAATACAACTGTAGGACTCATTTCTATACTGGAATAGAATTCTGCGCTAAATTAAAAGGGTAATATTTGTGTGTCGACTGTGGTAATTGACTCTCTATTAGCCGCCGAGTGCCTCCGCACCAGCAGTTTCTACTTGTCTCTGTCGCGTGTTAAAGGGACAAAGTAGGCTCTGCAAGCCTGAAGTTCTTGAAGAGATCAGTCTTCTTTATAATCTTGTTGCGCGAACACGAGGTGTTACTTTATTCTTTATTAGGGTGAAGCTGATTCTTCATCTAGAATATTCATGGAAAACTGTGAACGTCAGTTCGATTGTTTTACTGCGGAGCGGTTGACGTTCCTGTGTAGTTAACGGGTCCTGTTCGTTGGCCGTTTAAGACGTTTCATGGGCTCTACCCACCCAACCTTCGACGATTTTCGTATAGAAGAGCGTCTCTAATCATTGGTTGTCAACTTTTGACAGTAATAGAAGATATTCCCGTAGTCACTTACTCTGAAGCGCATTCGATAACGTTGAAAGTAGCCGAGTGTTCTTTGTGCTTTTCACTGCGTCTCGATGCTCTTGTAAGTATTCGAAGCTGCTCGTACGTCCTGCTCTGCTATTGGGCGAGGAGTAGTTATCGTACTGTCTTTTGTATCCAGACGTTTGAGTGTTTGGATGCACTGATCATGATCGGGATATGAAAAGCAATACCACTTTCATGAACATCGTATTCTGTGCACTAAGCCAAAGACCTAATTTAGCACGACCGCTGTAGAAATCATCTGATGGTCATTCCACCTAACTAATGCTTTATGATTAAAAAAATGGTTAAATTGAAAGAAAGCAAAGATGGTGTAGGTGTCGATCGTTGAATTTCATTTATACGGCATCCCATTCGTAATTTTGGCGAAATGATACCACTCACTTCGCCTTTTTAATGATGTTAATGTGCGATGGTAAAAATTGTGGTGGTGAAGTTGCGATATAGCCCAAAAATGTTCTGTGTACTCTCGGTAGGGACACCTTGTCTGACTAGAGCACCCTGAGGCTTGAATTAGTTGATTCATAATCCCTTAAGTAAATGGAAATGTAGTATCTATGCTTGTACTTTTGAAGCCCTTCAATGAGTCCTTTTATTGAGACGACGTGGTCTATCTTTCTGATCCCTTTCAAATTTCTGCTTGCTGTCATCGATATCCTTCATCCGATGTTCCTTCATCTAACAGCAGTTGAGATTGACACAAGCGAAGAGTTTAAACAGACAGCTGGCGGATTAGGCAATAGTTGCCGATGGCAGGTATGTCTACTTTTTATGCATTAACACCGACTCGTTTTCGTTTCATTTACTAGGAGCATGACCCTTTGATAGATAACGTGTGAGGATTAGGGCAAGCGTGTTGGTGAGTGTTGGAGATGGACTCTTGGGTTTGATATGGTCTGATCTGGGTTCTGTACGGTCCTTCAACGCAGAGATAACATATCGACCTTTGAATCCACCTCTCGCACCGATAAACGTCCAATCCAAGTCGTTAGTTGTTTAAAGGAATCGATTTTCATGACTAAACGCAAGCAACATCAGAGTAGCCCATTCCTCTATTATCCAATGAACAGTTCCCGAGCATCATAAATTACGTTTAAGGATTGGAGGGTGATCTTCTCATCTCAGTTGATTTGATGAAATTGCACTCTTCAATAGAGGATTCTTTTTGCACTGGAGTACAGACCGCTGTTCTAGTGCCTCCAAACATGGAAGCACTGACTCGCCCTAGGATTCCAATGGCCGATTCTAGTACCTAGGTACTGTTAACAGTGTCAGAGAGTAACCGAGAAACAGGTGAAACGAAGGACCCGCATGGTCTGGTGGTGAACGCGCTACTCCCCGGAAAGGGTAATAGCGCGTTCGTTCTCCATCTCACACACCTGCGGTCCGGAGTTCTGCAAATATCTCAGCATCATTGTACATATTTGGTTACATCACACGTAATACCTTGCCATGAAAAATTGTAATAGTCAGTAAATAAAAAAACTAAGAAATTATTACTTTTATTTTTGCCATTTTCGTAATAAATACTCACAATCAGCCAGCTATATTTTGGGCGATAGGGTAATCATATGTGACTCTCCGGCCTCCATCAGGGTGATGTTAAATGAAATTTGCAACATGTGACCTTTCGACCATTTCTCAGTAAACTTTATTCGCAGGCTGTTGGCCGAATCTTGGTGTGGAATGCAATCCGCAAATACGCAAGCGCGCCAATCCGGTTTATCAGGAACACCGTCGATCTGCTTAAATCACCTGTTTTTCAGGGCAAGTAGAATGCAGCATTTCGTCAGCAATTAACGCTGTACCCACAGCTAGTCGACTAATTATAACCGAGTGAGACATATACGTGGAATTTTCGCTCATAAGTCCACCTTAAGGAGTATAGATTACGAAAGTTTGTCACTAACCTGCTCAGAAATACGTTTCCTCTGATTAAATTAGGTGTACCGTCAACTAAAATCCTTCGAAATACTACTGAGCCTATGCCCTGCTCTCCAAGGAAGAAGAACACTCCAAAGATGCCTTAAAGTTACACTATTTGGGTAGATGTCATTTTTTTTTTCGTTGTTTTCAACGGAGAAAATGAGTAAGGAACTCACCAGGGATCACTGTAGCTAACATTGCCACTGCAACCACTCTTCGAGTGTTGGTTTCTCCGATTTTCTGACGGAAGTCTTGGAAACGTGCTGTGTTCCAAATCAGCCTCCCTACTCTTTCTATTATCAGCTCTAAGGCGGAAAGAGAAACCTAAAGAGGTCGCAGGCATGTTGGCATCAATCTCCGACTGCGTTTATACTATACTCTTCATATTTTCGTAGTCACTGATTTAGCATGTTTGAGATATAATATTTGAATAACTTTTATATTTCTGTTTAGCAAACGCGAGGTGTTATTTTATTCCTTTATTCACTAGCAAGCTGACGTTTCGGTGCATTTCACCTTGCTCAGAGCCTCGAAAGGTCAAGTTGACAGCAATCTACCCGGCTAAACACTCCCATAACCAAACAGAAAAAATGATTGGTGATTAAAATTCTGGTTTAGAATTTTCTCTGTTTGGTTATGGAGGTGTTTGGCCAGGTAGATTGCTGTCAACTTGACCTTTCCAGGCTCTGAGCAAGGCGAAATGCAGCGAAACGTCAGCTTGCTAGTGAATAAAGGAATAAAATAACACCTCGCGTTTGCTAAACAAAAATATAAAAAATTATTCAATCAATACCGAGGTTAATAGAAAGTCGGCCTTGAGAGTTACTGTAGGATTTGACTTTTGAAAACTATCTTTCTACTGCAAGTCATTATGTAGGTTGGATTAGTCTCTTCTGTTTCTCATATAGTCGAAGTCTTTCGAAAATGTGACACTTTAGAGGTGAAATTTGCATTATTGAGAAGTTTCTAGGGACTATATGCTTTCAAACGTAATGTTATTGGATCAGATGAAGCGTTATGGTGGTTCTAGCGGCTGATCTCGTTCTAGGGAGGATTCTAATAGAGGTGTATAAATTCAAGTGGTCTATTTTTCGCATTAAAATCCTTGAGAAAAAGATCTTAGAATATTGAGATCGTTGCAATGTACTCAACTGCTTTAGCCTTCGTCCTTCACTGACCTGGTCAGTGGATTTAAAATTGCCGCTACAATCAGAGGTGAAAGGTAATGAAAGGATCTGCAAATGTGCGGTGAATTCCACAGTGAAGACAAACCGTTCGAACAGAAGTAACTTCTCAAATGCCATTCAGCTGTTAGTACAATTTTTAGAATATTCTATGTAGTTCAACTTCAAATATTGTGCGGACTCCAGAACATTTTCCATTCAGTTTTGCCATCCGCGAAGGTCATCGGATTTTCGCGTGTGTTGTTAAATGTTGGTCAAGTCTAATCTTCAAATTGAAAATTGGTCCTGCAATAGCCGTGCTGGGCGATCATAGGCTCTGTGGTGATAACATTCTTCAGGAGGTTTTGCAAGAAGTAGTGGAAGAAAATTTAATCGTTTCATTTCAAGCCAATTGTGAAAGTGGTGTCTTTCGATGTGTAGCTGTCACACTAGCTCATGAATTCTGGACGGTTGAACGCTGCAAGTTCATGTCATCTAAGGAAATCTATCGACTTTCTGCCCTATTAAAATCCAACGTGTTGTGATTAGCGGAACTCTGACGTCAGAACTCAGTACCACGCAACAACGATGATGGTTTGGTGTGACAGGGAGCCTCATTCTCCTTTCAGACTAGTGAGCTAAGATCTGCTGAAATGAATGCAATCCTATCATTTCTTTTGATGGAAAATTCCTGTCAACCATTGTTTGCTGGTGAGATCTGTTTTTAGGAGTATCAGTGAAGCCTAACGGTTTCCAATGAGTTTAACCAAGCAGAAAAAGTGAGGGTTGTACATAAACAGGAAGAAGACCTAGTTCATAGAACCCATCGGACGAAGGCGAACAAATCGAACTGGATGGTTCTCTGATTGCAGAGATCACCTCCCTTCGACTTTCAATGAACATGGAGAACAACATAAACAAGGAATTACACAGAGAAAGGAGAGCAGTATGGGAAGCATTTAGAACTCTCAGAAAAGCGAGCGGGCAAGAACGACGTCTTCTAAAGTTAGCAGCCTCATCATCATCCGTCTTAAAAGAGAAGCATAGAAGAGTAGCTCATCCAACGAGAGCAGTCGACGAGAGATGAACGAACAGAGCAATAGAATGGATTCAAATGCGATAGGTGCGCCGTCTTCGGAAGCCAGCTATGGTTGCGCATGTTTGTACCTAAAATCAGTTGTATTTACATCCGATTATGCTTAAAAGATCGTGGGATCGTGGTCGCAGGGGTCGCCGTACTGGAAGGAGAACATCATGAACTACGATCACAAGGTAAAGAAGCGAATGGAGAACGTGCTTGGCTTGACACTATTAGTGATGACAGTCATCGAATTAAGTGTGAAAGATAAGACTGGTGAGACAGCTCTGGCAACGTCACATTGCAATTAGTTTGAAAAAATGCACACTAAGTAGCACTTAAAGAAGAAGGCATGTGGCCAGACGAATTAGCCTGATTATCTACTACGAAGACATGCAACAAATTTAGAACATATTTTCTGGTACCCCAGAGAGAAACTATTAGGTTATGTATATACCTCAGAGAGAAACAATTAGGTTATATATATAAATTGCAGGGCACGTGTGGCGCAGTGGTAGGAGACGCCCTGAAACGCACACGTGGAATCAATCCCCGCACCCATGGCCTACCAAGCCTTCTATCCCTCCGCCTTCGGGGAATTGGTACCAGGCTTGTCTAGAAGGATAGCAGCATTGGCTCCATACATCGGTAGGCCATTGCGAGTCATGGCAAAAAAGGCCAGATATGCATTCAGTCATCACCAAACGATGCTTGATAAAGTCGAATGCATGGCGCATCCCTCACGGATTGTTGAACTCCGAGAGCATTATCCTTTATTCTTTATATAAATTGCATACTTACTACCAGATCTTCCTTCAACAGATCACCGGTTTTTAACTGTGAATTAAAGGATTAACTAATCAAGAACTGACAGGAAGTCGGAAACACCATTTAACACCAACCGTGATAAGCATGTTCAAATCCCGAAAAAAAAACTTTTATTCTAGTGGTATTTATTCTGAACGAAGATTTTGATTTCTGACCAAGTTATCTCAAATATGGGATAAATCTGTCAAAAATAAAATATTCCGAATGACATAATAAAGCTGTGGTAGAGAAAGCTCGATAAACATCTCACCCAACAAATGTAGTTTGTTTTGAAGCCGTGCCAGGCGAGCACCACTCCGAAAACGGCCGCCAGTGTGCCAAGGATTCGAACGATGACCAGGGATAACGGCAGGGGGATTTTCATTAGTGGGATGTACACCTACAGTAAAGTAAACCATACTGAGTAAATTTACATTCATTAGGAAATTTTGAGTTAACGTCTAATTATCCAAACTTCGAAGCATTTAGTAGGATAAAAAATCGCTTGTTTGCGTGACCTGAGCGTTTGCGTAAGATCTCAAAAAACCTGGGCTAAATGGGCATTAATGGTTCTTTCTTTTGCAAAACACGGTCTATGTTTTTTCTCATTTGTTATTCAGCTAAGGTAATCTGCTCGCGGCAGTGTTCTGAGTTCTGCTAACAGTCACATTCTAGTTCCGACCGAACACATTAGAAAAAAACATCTATTCCAATCTCTGAAGGAACCAACAAATCGAAACCCTTAAATTCACGTTTGTCTACTTTGTTTGCACGTGTCAAATAAGCTAATTTGAACGATCAACCTTCAACGAACCTGACTCATAACGTGAGCGTTATTATTTGGCAATGAGATAATTTGGCTTATTTACCTTTCAGTGCTTTACCACACCATTTAGGCATGTGGCATTTCCAGGTGGCAATTTGCCATGTGGTTCGGGATTTTTCCACCGTACAGGGTCATGTAATCATAGATAGAGCTCGCCATTCCATTCAAAAGCCAAATAAGAGTTTGTTATGTCATGTCAGAACCTGTGGTCGCGCTAGCTTTAAGGACATTAGATTACCACAAGTGTTATTTCAAAAAGGTTAGTACATTGTATTAATTAGTCAGTGGATAAATTCATTGGAAACTCGTGGCACAGAAAACGAATAGGGTTCTTTGCAAGTGCTCCATCGAGTTGCTTAATTTTAAAGGTAATCTGGTCATTCTTTAGTAATTAAATGAATGATGACAAGCGATCAGGAAGCTAATTGCATACCGTACACGAGAGCTTTAGAAACTAACCTGATTTTTGAGAAACTGGTATAACCCAGCGTCAAAATGGCGCCACATCAGAGAATAACGTGAAACACGCGCAATACAGATCGGAGGAGGAGGTGGACGCATTCCTGAGAAAATTTTAACTGCTCAGACACTAATATTCTTGAAGTAGGTGAGATGAAATGTAGTAATGCAACATTTGACATTTTCTCGAATTTAGTATTAGAAACGATAAAGCTCTCGGCGTTGATCATTCCCTGAGGGATGCGCCATGCATTCGATTTCATCAAGCATCGTTTGGTGATTGAATGCATATCTGGCCTTTACAATGACTTGCGGTAGCCTACCGATGCATCAAACCACTGCTGCTATCCTTCCAGACAAGTCTGGTACCAATTTGCCGACCCTGAAAGGATAGAAAGCTTGGTGGGTCATGGGGGCGTGGATCGATTTCACGCGTGTGTTGCAGGACGCCTACGACCACTGCGCCATACGCGCCTCTAATTTAGTATTACGGCGATTCAAACCCCACGAATGCCTACCTGTATAAACACCTGTCCTACATTATATTGTTCAACGATTGTAAAGATTTTAGCAATCCACATTCAAATACAAATAACTTTACAGGAGTCTTTACAACACGCTGCGGCCTTTTCATTACACTAAAAGGCGTTGCCAAGCCCTGCTGTTCGAGGAATAAGGCATTCTTCTCAATTGAATGTCGATCTTACATAGTTTGGTTGGTGGCCTTCTTATTTGTAAATGCAATCACTCACCGTCCAAATAGGAGAAAAGTGCTGGAATTCCGAATATGACCACATACTTCATGTAGAAGAGTTGACCAGCAACGAAAGCGAAGGCTGCCACTGAATATTTGGATTCATCACTCCACGAGCAGAAACTTTATATCGTTCAGCATTTCAAAAAAGACAACAAGAATAGCAATAACATAAGTAATTTCAGAACAAAGTACCCGGTTTGGACGCTATAAGGTCCACACATTTCCGGGGCAGAGAACTACATGGACATCATGGCGTCCGTCTTTAGTCCAGTTGGTTCCAGAGCTTTTTCTTTACACACTACGTATACTCATTCGATAGCTAATCAAAAGCGGATCAACGTAGGAGGGATGAAAGCAAAAAAGCCATCCTCTATGTTTAATGATTTACAAAAAACTTTTTCGAAAAGGCTCATTAGCCGGTAATTTGACTTACAATTAACTACTATTTCATTTTAATCACTATGTTTATTGTAGGGAGTACGCGGATGCAAAAAATACCGAAATAGACTCAAAGTAAGGCATATAACCAAAATGATGCCGAGATATTGGCAAAACTCCCGACCAATGGTGTCTGTGGTGAGGATCGAACACGCTATTTACCCTTCCCGGGCGAACGCGTTCACCACCAAACCGTGAGAGTCCCTCGTTTCCCCTTTCTCTCAGCCGTGTTGTTGGCCTATAGTCACATTCTAATCACTTTTATCCAAACTATTTATTATCTGCTTGATTGTGAGTTGTACTACAGATTCAACTTAACGGGGTTCAACGCTGTTTTGTGCTCCCCTAATCAATCCCGTTGACGGGCGATTGCTAATAGCACCTATACGTCAATGGCTGAGAAAAAGGCTAAACGAAGGACTCGCATGGTGTGGTGGTGAACGCGTTAGCTCCCGGAAAAGGTAATAGCGTGTTCGATCTCCACCGCAGACACCAGCGGCGCGGAGTTTTGCAAATATCTAAGCATCATTGTGGCTATTTTTCATATAATACCCTGTCATTAAAAAATAGTAGGCAGTAAATAAAAATTAACGACTCAAAATAGGACTTCAATGATGCTGAGATATTTGCAAAAGTCCGGACTGCAGGTGTATGCGGTGGGGAACGAACGCGCTATTGTCCTTTCCGGGGTGTAAAGCGTTCACCACCACACCATGCGGGTCCTTCGTATCGCCTGTCTCTCACCTAGTTCTATCGATCTTTGCCATCAGCAATCACCCGTCAGCGGGATTGATTTGGGGGCCCAAAGTTTTGCCATTATCTCAGGATCATTGGAGTTATATTTCGCAATATGCCTGCCATTAAAAAGAGTAGGCAGAAAATAGTAAGTTAAAATTGTGACTCAAAATAGGGTTTAAAATGCTTCCACGTACTGACAACAATGTACATAATGAAGCAACAATGATAAAAGACCATAGCAATACACAGTAAATAGTAGTACCATTCATACTCAAAACGATATATCAAAGTCCCATCTACAGCTTTTTTATGTTCAAAACCCCCAAAACACCCTTGTTGTTGGAAAGTTATCTTTTATTTTCAAAAAATGAGAAGAACCGCAGTCGAAGAAAAGTTGCCTGTTTTCCACGGGGCTAACCATACTAAAAGCCATGGGTCCGTAATGGGTTGAAAACCCTTGAAACATGAGGCTTATTACGTCACGATGGCGCTGGCCCACCACGACCTAAGTCTTATCATCTTCTAACGAAGAAGTGAAAAAAAGAAATCCTTTCCTTGGTTTTTCTACATGGATACAAATCAAAATATCTTGTTTGCATACCACTTTAACGCTTTCTTTTAAAAAATATGCCTAATCGAATAACTCGAGCAAGCAACAATCTTCGCGATTCTATAGGAGAGGTCTTGCCTTCGTAGTTGTTAAAGTCGGAGATGTCGCTGAATGTAGAGTGGAATACCGTGTGCGCGTAAATGATGTGGAGAATGAATTCAAAGACGAAGTACCACAGCAGAATACGAACGGCAAACCAGCCTACGAATCTGAAAAGAATGAAAGATCGTACCTTAATCCTTCCGCTAAGTTGTGTTGATTGGGCACAGCTCTACAGATACTACAGCATTCTTGACAATCCAAATGCTGAAGAGAACAAAATGTGAAGAAATTTTTCGCACTTGTCTTTGTATAGCTTTATTTATTTATTTTCCGCTTCTGTATAACCCGTTTTCACGTTTACTGTTCGAATCCCAGCAGTTCTCAGATTTTATTCGTTTTCTTTCATCCATTATCCACGAAGATCTTCCAACTTTACATGTGGCTTCGGTTGCTGCTTGAGGATTTTTATTTCATCATGAATGTTGTAGAATTCTGGTCGAGCAATTCTCCCTGGACTGCTGAGATAGCCAGACTGGAACGTTCCCAATAGAGTGATTTCTTTCCCAGAGCAGCAGTTTTCCGACTCCGAAGGGACGAAGAATTTTTTCTGGAGTCCTGAGATAGTCGGGCTGTAGCGTTCCCAATTGGATTGCAGAGTGACTTTTTTTCTCAGAAAATTTCGGTACCAGTTTTCCGACCCCGGTGGATGAGGGGCTTGGTTGGCCCGGTGCGGAATCGAACTAGCACCATGCTTTTGATGACGGGCATCACCATCACTGTGCTATCCGTCTCTTATAGCGTATTATTACCTATTAATATTGCCACTCTTAGTCTGATTAGTATACCTCTAGCAGTCTCCAGCACGAGCTTTCTGTTAACGTAGGCATCGTTCCATAAGTAAGTGTTTTATTCTTGAGCAGAAACGATGCTGCTATCTATCAACAAGGTTTATCCAGTACCGGCTGACGTTTCCTGGTTTCGCCTTCTCTCACGGCTTCGAATGGTCGAATTGACATGCAGTCTACTCAATCAAACACTTTCATAAACCAATCAGAAGTATGTCAACAGATAAATTTCATCTGCTTACTAAACAGCTGCTTTTGAACACTCACCACTTTGAACACCCAATTGGCACGCATAGGACCTATAGACAGCTGCGAGGACTTTGAAGTACGTGTCACGATCCTCGCACAGGAATCGAAAACACTAGCGTGCAAAACTCTCGAGGCGCTCTGGATTAATTCCAGAAATCCGAAAATGAACCGCAGTGTAGAATGCCTTATTATCAGCCGTGATACTCGGCAGCATGTAACCCTGTTATTCTGATAGGAGGTCACATTAGGCTTCCATGTGGATTCTGTGCGGTTGGTCTCCACGCGACACACTCAGTGGAAGCCTCATAGAAAGCGGTGAGTGTGCAGAGAAGCCATTCTGTGTTCAATGTGATTGAAATCTTGGTTTAGCGTTTTTCCTGTTTGGTCTTGGAGGTGTTTGGCCGAATAGATTGTTGTCAACTTGACCTTTCCAGGCTCTGAGGAAGGCAAAATCGGCCATAACGTCAGCTATTCGCGAATAGAGAATGAAAATAACACCTCGCGTTTGCTCAACAAGAATACAAAAACTCACCATTTTGTTCACTGCAAGTCCTTCAGTTCCTGTTGAAAACCAACTTCACAGAATCTTACACGGGTGAGGGTTGTGCCTGGGTTAGGTCAAGAAATCAGCTTGACGTATGACGTATGGTCAAGCGTGACCGAAAGGCAGTGTTTATTGTGCAAAGCGCTCAAGAGTTTTACACGCTGACGTTTCGCATTCCAATGTGAGAATGGTGACAGCGACCTCAAAATCTTTCCCAATGTGGTCTGCCCGCTATGTGGCCTTCCTGCGTTGTGTAGTTATTTGGTTTAACTTCAAGTTTTTTAACTAGGTGTTCTTTTATGTTAAAGCTGTGTAGTCTACCTGTTTCGCCCACGCATTCCATTCCACTCCCCCCCCCCCCCCCACATGCTTTACAAGAAATCGGATAATCGTTGCCCGCACTCCTGTAATCTCTGCCTATAGGGCAATTTGCGCAACTTTATGTTATACACAGAATGTCATGAAAGCTGTTCCGAAGTAGCTGTTCTCCTAAAGTGTTCAGTAGTGTCTTAATCACTGCTGGCGAATTCACTGGAGCGGCGACTATTAAGCATCGCTTTATAGCTATGCTTACTCCCTTTGAGACAAAGCGCAGGTTAAACGGAAACTTATTTTCCTTAGACTTTTCGTTCAGAGATTTTGTTTTTCTCTAAACTTATCCTGAGGAGTTGCCATTTCGTTGCCATTGGGAATGGTTTCTTGCTAGGCCATGTTCAGAGACTTCTTCTTCCAATTTGTGAGGAAACAGAAAACACAATTTAGTAACCAGTGATGATCTTGCGTCTATTGACAGTTCAAAGTTCACAACGTCAAACCCATTATCAGCTGTGTAAACGGGCCAACGGAGAAATAATGTAATTTATAAACTTAACACTCATCCATTTGCGAAAGCACATCCATGCCAATCTTACAAACATCCAGATATTGGTGGATTGCCTGCGTAACGCGGGTTCTAACTGTGCATACGTGACAGAGTCCTTCGACGTTACCGCCCTCTATACAAACGCATCGAATGACTCCGCTATTCAACCCATCCTCGAACTCCTTATACACCACGAAGGAGCAATAAACATGCATAATTTCACGATACAGCAGTAGATGACACTCTTAAAGGAGTGCCTAAACTGCTCAGTCTTCAGATGGTTCGGAAAATACCACGGTCAAATGAGAAGGTTGACAATGGGACTGAAACTGGCACCAAGCCTTGCCATTGCGGTGGGTGGTGAAGACAAGGTCGAAGCAGCAGTAACTGATCTCCGGGGATTACTCTACTGTAGATATAAAGATGATCGCTTTGTCACTTGCTCAACATAAGAGGAAATGGACAAATATTTTGAGTTACTGATTGAACAGTAAGAGTACAACAAGTTTACCCGAGAGAAACCGAAAGAAGACTGGCTTCCATTTTTGAACGTTCAAATTAACCTATCCGGAAACGCCTTTACGAAACATTGCGAAATAGTACTGAAAGCCAAGTAGTAAAAACATACTTGTTCATTACCTCTCTACTCACTCTTCACCCACAAAAACGGCGCTTCTAAGAAACATGTTTCGAACAGCCACAGGCGAACAGTGGGGAAGAGAGCAGAAAGAGAAATTCCGGAAATTAAAACAGAAAATAGCCATTTCCAATAGCTACGAAACTGTAGCGCCTCGTGATAGGCGTAGAGAAAAACCCAAGCTCCCAAACCAAGAACTCTGGCTGTGATAAGGTCCCGTTTATCCTACTCTCCATTTCAAACGGAATAAGTGCAGCTACACAACGTTGCTTAAGAAAGGCTGGTCTAGAAAATTCAGTAACAGTGATAGAAATACCACCGAGCACTTTAAGAGGCCATCTAGTTCGTAACAGCCCGTATGACCGCCGATGTAGAACGCAAAATTGCATAATATGGCCTAACGGTAGAAACTGTGACTGGACAAGTTCGGCTACGATTTATCTGATCTCTTGTAAAGAAGGCGTGGACGAATATATTGGCGAAACGGGTAGACCACTCTGTGTCCGTATAAAAGAACAACTAGTCGGTAAACTTAAAGTTAACCGAGTACTCCACTAGGGGCGCATAGGACGGAGAAAATTTTGAACTAAAAGTCACTATCTTAGCACAGGAGTCGAAAACTTCAGCGCGCAAAACTCTCGAAGCATTTTAGATAAATTTCAGGAATCCGAAAATAAACCACAGCAAAAAATACCTCGTAATCACACGCGATACCACACACTATTGATGACTGATGTTTTAAAGTGACGGCCACTTTATACTTCTATGTGAACTCTGTGTGGTTGGTCTCCACGTGACATGGTCAGTGGAAGACTCACAGAAAGCGGTGAATGTGCGAGGAAGCTGTTTTGTGTTGAGTGTGATTGAGATCTTGGTTTAGTACTTTCTCCGTTTCGTAATGGAGTTGTTTGGCTAAATTGCAGTCAACTTAACCTTTCCTGGCTCTGAGGAAGCCGAAATCCGCCGAAACGTCAGCCTTTTCATAAATAAGGGGTAAAGTAACAACCTCATGTTCGCTCTTCATGAGAAGAGAATTCGATCAATGCCGACGTTAATAGAAAGTCGGTCATCGAAATTACTACATTTTTCATTTGTAGGATAATATGAGGTTGATAAAATATTTTATTCAACTAACGTCTCAGCCCCTTCGCCTTCATTAGAGCCGGATTGATCTGAATTGATTGGAACAATTGTAGACAATCGATATCGATGGAAGAATGCATATCTATTATTTGTACGATGTTCGAAAGAAGTCGATTTTTGGAAGAATGTTATGCTCTGTGCTGGCTGAGAATAATACCCTTTTCAGCAGGATGGGTCGTCCGGAGAAAAACAAACGATTGTCAGCAGACATCACTAACAACAAAAACCATCGTGTGTAAATGAACACTGCAAAAGACGAAAACCTACAACGAAAGAAGGAAGAATTGTGGAAAATTTGACTTCTCCAGGCTTTGAATAAACCGTCGAATCCCTGATGTTAATTCCTTGGTTACATCTACAGCGTCTCTAGACAGTGACCGTTAGCACTCGAGGGTTCTTGTAGATTAGGCCAGAGCTAGCTTTTTTGGTACTGTGAGTCTATACAGTAGTGATTCCAAGGATAATGTCCTCTTAACCAACTGATTTTCGACCTGAGCAATCACACACTACCTTGACTTTTGACATTTGGGCAATATTCTGACAAGGATAGAAACTAGAATCAGTTCGTTTTTAGTTCCACGGTGGTTTGCTATAAATGCATCTGATCAGAGATAAGTCATCCCAAGTATTATAATCAAAACATTATCGCCGTTTCATGGCAGGGGAGCCATGAGACTTCAAGTGAGAGAACGCATAGTTGGCCTATACAATGGATTGCCGAGAGCTATGGTGAACTAGTTCAGCGTATTTATTTTCCCTGTTACGAATTTTGCGACAGTGGAAAGATGGAGCTTAGTTAGTGTGGGGCGCGGAGTAGAACAAAAGACCTTGTACGTATTTCAGAACATTTTTAACCGCTGCGCAACAAGCGCAAAACAAGGTGTTAATTACGTCTACTTATATTTATTTTAAACCAAAACCTTAATAGCACATGCTTCAACTTTTTCAACTATTTGGGCAAATGCCGTTCCTCACCTGAGATGAGCGGTGTCGATAACAGCAGCGGGGTTATTCAACCTCTTCTCAAGCTGCACAGAAAAGTCCTCAAACAACACGATCAACGTTGACGAATACGGTAGATATCCTATATATGCGAGGTGCTCCTTCCAAACATCGACGTACTTTAACTCCTTGTTCTTGCACATATAAAGACAGAAATTCAGAATCTGGAAGAGTGGATTAACTAGAAAGATTGAACTTAATTTTTATCATAGAGCTTTCTGCCCACCTTAAGCCACGATGCAATTGTTGCTTTGCCTTTTTGTTAAAATAATTTTCATTCCAAAACTTCTTTCATTTTATTTTCAAGTGAAACGATAAGAGTGCTCATGGGTCATTCTTTCGTTGCTTCATATACTCCGATTGCTTGCATGAAGTAAAGAGCAGTAGAGATTTAGACAATCTCATAGTTTCCTCAAAATGAAGTGCCTTTTTTAAAGGTGTAAATGAATTCATAGAAGCTGAAAAAGACTACGTGTAAGACATTGTAGAGTACTTCTATAAATTCTCTCGATTTGCGTAACTGCTGCTTAAGCCGCTAAAATAAAGAGGAGAAAGTTCTCGGCGTTAATCAATCCAAGAGGGATGCGCCGTGCATTCGGCTTCACTAGGCATCGTTGGAGGTGATTGAATTCATATCTGGCCTTTACAATGACTCGCGGTGGCCTACCAATGTATCGAGCCAGTCTACTATCCTCATAGGCAGGTCTGGTACCAATTTACCGACTCTATGGGGATAGAGTGCTTGCTGAGTCTGAGGCGCGGGGATCGATCCCATGTGTATTGCAGGGAGCCTCCAATTACTGCGCATTCCGCGCAGGTAGCGGCTTGAAAACACCCTACTGTGGCCCACAAGATTTCAGGAAAAGAGAGCTTCACCTATCCACGAAGTCACCACTCGAACAGAAAATGTGTGGATCCACACCATTCGTGGTTCACTACGACCGACTCAAGTACTTGTAACCAAGGTAATGCGCAAGCAAAAAAAGTCCGCGACGTTTGTTTGAGGAACGTTTTCAGTGGTGTCAGTGAGGAATGTTCACTTTCATTTTGCTTCTCTACATGTTTTTTACGAATTTGATGCTTTGCAATATGTTGTATACAATTTTGAACCTTGGAAGGGAAATTTTTATGACACGTATGAGGAAAGAAAGGTGGCATGTTCGTTTTTTAAAACCGCAAAGGACTATGAAGGATGAAAGATAAATCTCACGACGTTGATCAATCTCTCAGGGATGCTCCATGTATTCGATTTCATTAAGCAACGTTTGGAGGTGATTGAATGCATATCTGGCCTTTACAATAACTCGTGGTGGCCTGCCGATGTATCGTGCCAGTGCTGCTATCCTCCCAGACAAGTTCAGTACCAATTTGCCGACCCAGGAGGGATAGAAGGCTTGGTGGGCCGTGTTCGCAAGGATCGATTCCACGTTTGTGTTGCAGATCGCCTGCGACTACTGCGCTACACGCGCAAAGGACCATCTCAAATTCAATAAGCAAGTTTTTGCACATATAAATGAAATAAAATGAAGTCAACATAGGAGTCCATATGGGTCTGAAAACCTTCCATAATAATTTAGAGACGATTAACTATCTTCAGATGGTGCATAGATGAATGTTTTCGAAAAAACTAATGTTGGCTTCCAAAAATACCACTAGAAAAATAATTCAGTACAGTATACAGTAAAAATAACAAATAAATAAATGCAGTAAAAATTCTGATTTTCTTTTTGCCCACCCAGGAGGGATAGAAGGCTTGGTTGGCCGTGTTCGCAAGGATCGATTCCACGTTTGTGTTGCAGGACGTCTCCGACCACTGCGCCACATGTGCTTATAGCTCTAACAAACTTTATCCGTCGCTTCTAGTGGATACTCTTCCACTTCATTGTTCGAATCTGATTAATTTGTTGGATGTATACTTCCGATCACAATTTCTTTTAGTTGCTAAAGTCCAGTTTAAAAAAACCTTCACCGGCTTGATTTACCTTGATCGCGCCATACATATAGGCGTTGAACTCCAAGTAATGCCTGAGATTAGTGTTGGTGAATGGAAACACCGCAGTGCCTTTTATGACGACAGAAAGGCACAGCACCCAAGGAATCACGATGTTTCTGGTGTAGATGGAAAGGATGGTGACGACGATTGAAACCGCAGTGATTACGAGGAAGCACTGAAGGCTGAAAGAGTAGAAGTGTGACGGTCATTCCTTATTGTCCAATTCGTTGTAGTGATAGATGATTAAAGACAAAGTGTTTGGCGAGCGACAGCTCAATTCCTCATGGATACGAAATGCATTGGATTCCACTGGTAGCCCTGTTAATGTGGGTAAATGCACATTTAGCTAAAAGGTGACTTTCAATGGCCTAATCATGTATAGATTCAGTGCTTTTCTCCTCTCAGTGAGGTCTGACACCAAATTCGTAACCTTACAAGGAAAGTGACTTGGCTGTCGTAGGAAGCGGGAGAAACTACCACGTTTGTATTGCTGGGCACTTCTAAGCATTACGCTACACAATTCTCATTACAGTAATAGTGCTCTCAGTAAAAAATAAAGGATAAAGCTCTCACGGGTTTCATGAGAGGAGAAGTACATTGTGACGTAGCAAGCGAACTATTATCTCACTGAAAAAATCTACAGAATCTAATGTTTATCTGTTTAATCTTAATTGGGCTAACAAATTTCAGCATGAGAAAAGAACAAAGCTCTCAGCGTTGATCAATCCCTGAGGGATGCAGCATGCATTCGATTTCATTAAGCATCATTTGGAGGTGACCGAATGCATATCTGGCCTTTAGAATGATTCGCGGTGGCCTACCGATGTATCGAGCCAGTACTGCTATCCTCCCAGACGTGTCTGGTACCAATTTGCCGACTCCGGAGAGATGGAAGGCTTGGTGGGCCATGGGCGCGGAGATCGAATTCACGTGTGAATTGCAGGGCGCCTCCGATCACTGCGCCACACGCGCTCTCAGTAATAAACCGCTTTTTGTCTAAGAGAACAGTAGTTTTCAGCAGTACTGACGCTCATTTTACGTGCTACAAATCAAACCTAGCTAGCGAACTGATTAACTGCACATCAATTAGATAAGAAAGTGATGGCTAATAAAATGAAGCGTTTTCGTTGGTTTGGTTCCGAGAGAGAAAATCCAGAAACGTCACGAGACTGCACGTGCTGTCAAACTCTTACTAGTTTCAAGAGCGTTCACTTGTGAAGTTCACCTTTTTTCTACTAGTAAAGGCTTTTGTAATTTATTGTTTGTATAAGAGTTATGTACTTCCAAACCTTGTCATGTGGATCTGAATCAGTAATCCTGCGACGGACAACGCCAACTTGACCCATTTGGCTGTCACGAAACGAATCACCAAGAAGAATCTAAAATTGTTACTCAATTTGGAGACCTTTAAACGGATCGCTGCAAAACCCCAGCATTCAATTTGAATGGAAAAGAACAAGCACGCTTAAATTTTGTATGATAGAAATAGGTAGTAGTTTTCCAGTGATGCTAACTAGTAAATTCGCGGACATTCCTCTTGAAGATTTCCTAACCGATAAGCAACCAGGATACGTGGGATCTCCCAGGGAGGCGAACATGAAGTTAAACAGAAGTGAAAAGCGGCATTTTGGTTCTCTGAGATAAAAGTGGATCTATTAGATGGACTCTATGTCCCTAATACACCGTTTTTACACGTCTCCCGTGTTTATGTAATCGTATTTATGAGTAGGTAGTTGGTTCATACACGGATTGTATCCTACGAGTTAATTCTGCCAGAATTATGTAATAACGTGAATGAAGTGGAAAGCACAAGGGAGATGGTAAGGCATTACCTAAAACAAATAATTTCCATGTTTACCCTGGCGGCGACCAACAAGCTACTCGTGAGCATAGATCACCAAAAACAGTAGACTAAATGGGCCTCATTCTCTGTACCACTCACTAAACGGCAACCGATAGGACAGCCTTAAGCAGCACAAGTAAAACGAACTTCCTAAAACCTCAGGACCGTGCTAGGCTATCTGAATCTGGAAGAACTAATGTAACGATCTTCACTTGTAAAGCACAAGCACTAGCATTTGAATTTTCAATAGTCGATGGGGCACGATAAAGTCAAGTACGATGTGTCACCAGTCCAGCGAGGTTTATGATATCGAAGAAGAGCTGTTACTCGAAACATGCGATAGTAGAGGAGAGTTGGTAGCTTTGGAATTGCCTAAGCATGGAAGTAATATCGATTCCTTGAGAGAAGAAAAGACTTCGATCGAATATTTACAACTGGCAACAAGCAGGCCCACATCGGATTTGCTAATTTCAGTCGTTTACTTCATGCCATTCGAGAGGCCTCTATGTCTTCTACTTCTGGGCAATTCTCGACCCATGTCCGAACTCCCAAACCCATGCAGAAAGGCGATAAAAGGAAATATTAAGGTGAAAAGGGTACCAGTAATAGCCGAAGGTCTAAAGGTGAAAAGAGAATTCATAAAGCCGGCCGAAACTGCGCTAACTACGAAACTGAAATGATCGCCATCAGGCGTTTACAGAGAACAGTTACTTTTCCTAAAAAGCAATGGAGGAAATCGTTCTCGTTTCTGTTCTGATATCTTGAAGAATCAACTGCTTCTCGCTTTATATTAGGTCTAATGGAGTAGATATTTCATCCCGGCCTAACAGTTATCCGTTTCAAAAACCGCCATACTATTTTATTGATGAAGAACTGTACGACTGCTACCCTGTCTAGCAAACACAAGACTAAAACATAACATCTGAAAATCCAATTACCGTTTCTCATCAATATTCTGCATCGGCTGTCCACACACTACTTTTCAGAATACATGGTTAACAGTTAATGGAAGACCAGTTAGATCGCGTTGTTGCGGAAAAAGGCCGGCATCCTCGACAACGCCAACTCCATCCAAATCTGAGTTCTGTTTTCTATCCATAAACTATTCATTCGTGTCATTCTCAACAGGAATGGCAAAATATTAAACGAAAGGCAACCATGTAACCAAGAAGAATTTCGAAAGATATTCAATAAAATACAAGTCCACCATCCATGGGATTAACAGATTGTCATTTTCTATGAGACTACCATGACTGGAGTACAGGAGTAAAATACGACAGACCGCTCACCGCTCTGCCTCACGTTAA